CCAGCAGCCCCGGCAGGAGCACCCACTCCAGCAGCACCTCCAGCAGCACCACCAGAAGCTCTAGAACCTCCAGCCGCAGCACCAGGAGCACTGTCAGTAGGGCCGCCAACGGCAGGCTCAGCGCCAACACCCTCAGTAGGACCAGCTCCAGGAGAACTCTCAGACTCAGCAGCTCCAGCACCCACAGTACGAGCGCCGGCGGGGCGCGCAGCAGCAGTACCCTCTGCAGTCGAAGAACCACCAGCACCAGCAGCACGCCTCCAGCGCCCGGCAAACCACTCACGCAGCTCCTGTGGGGAGAGTGGCTCCCGGCGAGACGAAGCACTCCCAGGCACAGCACCTCCAGGCTCAGCACCCCTAGACACAGCACCCCCAGGCACGGCACCCCCAGGCTCAGCACCCCCAGGCTCAGCACCCCCAGGCACAGCACCCCCAGACTCGGCACCTCCAGGCTCAGCACCCCCAGACCCGGCACCTCCAGGCTCAGCACCCCCAGACTCCGCACCCCCAGGCTCAGCTCCCGCAGCAGTACCAGAGTCACCAGTGACCTCGACAGGCTCGACCGCGTCTACCTGGGACACACCTGAAGGGGCAGGACCCTGAGGGGGGAGGGGGACTACCGGGGGGGGACCTGGTACCAAGAAGAGCGGGGGTGGGGGGAGGGACGGAGTGCGGTAGGGGAAGAGGCGGTAGTAGGGCACCGACTCGTCGAACGTGACGTCCTGGGAGGACAGAACACGTCGAGAGGTGGGGTGGTAAAACTGCCACCCAGGGGCGTCGGGGGGGAACCCCAGGAAGACGCAGGGAGAAGCACGAGGGGACAGCTTGTCCGCAGACAGGTCGCGAACAAACGCCCGAGATCCCCAGACCCGGAACGCCGACGCATCGCCAACCTTCCCGGTCCACAGCAGGGCTGGGGAGGTCTCCGGTCGAAAGACCCTGGGGTGGAGGTTGATCTGGTGCGCAGCGTACCTGACCGCAAACGGCCACAGAAAATGGGGAGCAGCCGCATGCATCATGGACGTACGAGCGACGTCCATGACCATGCCAATGCGGCGCTCAGCAATCCCATTTTGCTGCGGTGAGTCCGGAAGCGTGAAGGTCTGACGGATGCCTCGCACACGACAGTAGGCACTCAGGAGGCCGGAGGAGAACTCTCCACCTCTGTCCGAGTGCAGACGCAAAACAGGGAAGTCAGAGCCAAAGCTCCTCCGAAGCCGGAGACGAGCTGCGCGGATCCAGTCGATCAGCACCTCAGTGACCTCACCCTTGCTGCGCAAGGGGAAGACTGTGGTGTAACGCGAGTAGTCGTCAACCACCAGCAGGAAGTAGCGCTCCTGACCCTGTCCACGGACACGGGCTGGGCCCCACACGTCCATGTGAAGCGTCTGCAACGGGGCCTCTGTGGGAGGAAACTGGGAGGAGTGAGGGGCAGCACGCTGGCGCCCCTCGACGCAGGGGACACAGGTGGGGCCAGGGCCCGGAGGAAGGGGAGGGAGAGACCGGGGAAGACCAGACACAAGGACTCGCGAGGCCATGCCTCTGAGCCGAAGCAGAGAGGGGTGGCCAAGGCGGTGGTGCCAGAGGAGGGTCTCGTGAGACAGACGACGACACGAGCAGGGGGCAGACTCAGGACCAGACCTGGACGCTGCAGCAAACACCTGACCAGACGAAGGGACCCTACCAGACTCAGCACCTGGAGGAGAAGCAGTGGTCAGTGTGTACAGGCTCGACCCTGGCCGACGTGTAAACGTAGCCAGGTGGCGACCTGTATCCTCCTCCGTGCAGTGGGTCACCCGCTGACGAGCAGGGGTGAACTGGTGGACACCCGCATCCTGGAGGTCAGCACCACTCACCAAGTTCGTCGAGAACGAGGGGAGGTAGAGACCAGTCAGGGTGCCAGAGGGGGCCGCCGGACACGGGAGGACAGTGGAGAAGCGAGCCAGGACCGGCCCCCCAGAGGGGTCAGCCAGGGACACTGCAACCGGCCGACTCAGCGGCGTGAGAGTGGTGCGGTCCCTAAAGAAGGAGCGAGACGCTCCAGAGTCAAGGGTGAAGGTGTGAGAGGCCGAAGCCGACACAGTACCTAAGAGGGCAGACTCACCAGCACCTGAGAGCACAGACGCACTGGCACCTAGAGCAGCAGCCTCACTAGTACCTGACGCGGCAGTACCAATGCCCGGGTCGGGCGGGAAACACCGGTAACAGTCATCCTCATCACTACCAGTCACAGCATACATAGCAGAGAGAATAGCATCAAAGTCAAGATCATAAATAGCTACTCCAGCCCTAGACAGCTCTCCCCAGCGGGGGATCTCAGCGGCCTCCGGAAACTGCTGACGCCAGGCGTCGGTCAGGCGGCCAAAGCAGCGACGGGCTGTGTGGGCGCCTCCACACCTCTCCCCCGCACGGTCACCGGTGCGAAGAACGTAGGGGCAGGGACCAAGAGCACCACCGCGCTGACGCTGCAAGTACCACTCACAGAGCTGCTGAGGGCCGGGGACGGTGCGAGAGCGCTGCTGCTGCTGCGGCTGCTGCTGCTGCTGCTGCTGCTGCTGCTGCTGCTGGCGCTGACCACCCCCAGAGCTGCTCCGCTGGGACGAGCCACTCCGACCCCCGCCTCGATCACCACCCCCGCCTCCACCGCCACCCCCGTCTCCACCGCCACCTCCCCCACCAGGACCGTCGCTCCCACCGCTCCCACCGCCTCCTCCGCTACCACCTCCGCCGCCACCTCCGCCTCCACCGCCGCCACTAGTACCTCCACTCCCGCCACCACCTCCACCGCCACCCCCACTCCCCCCGCCACCCCCACCTCCTCCGCCACTGCCTCCTCTAGATCCACCCGCTCCCTTGCCCCCCTTGCCCTTGCCAGAGCGGCGTCTGCCGCTGGGGGCAGACGCCGCACCGACCGACTCAAAACCAGCGAGGTCGGCCGTAGCAGCAGAGGCGACAGAGGGCAGCAGGGGGGAAGGAGAACACCCCTCAAAGATGGGGGTGCGAGGGTCACCCCTAGAGGCCCCTACAGCGACTATACTCTTCTCAGCCGCTAGCAGGGACTCCTCAAGGAGGTCGACAGTGAGGGTGGTGGGACAGACAGAGAGAAACTGGTCCCTAACGACACGAAGGGACTCAGGAAGACGGGTGACGAGAAAGTAGAGAGTGATATACATGGGAGGAGGGTTTGCGGCGCGGAACTCAGCAGGAAGGGCAGCGCGGTAGCGAGCGTCACTAGCACGGAGGTGGGTAACGAGGTCAGCGACAGTGGGAAAGGAAGCGAGGTCAGGGAAGAGAAACGGTAGCATGAGGCGGCTAAGGGTAGCGGAGGAAGGGGAGGAGTAGCGTGCAACTACAGCGTCGTACAAGGCCTGAGCGGTCTTGCACTGACTAAAGTGGGCACGCTCAGAGGAAGGGAGGTGGCGACGCACAGCAAGACGTGCAGCAGCATCGCGGGTCGCCCACTTGGAGCGAACGGCAGAGTCAGCATCAGCAGGCGGGGCAGGGACAGCTCCAGAGACAAAGTCAAAGAGAGAGACCTCATCTATCGCATCACACAGTAAGTACAGCTGTAGGTCTTCAATCCAGACGGCAAATTCAATGGCCCTCCCCTCAGCGTCAAAAGTAAGAACATTGGGGGTGGCCATGGCAGCAGCTGAAAGTCTCACCGGGCTGGAGGAGTCGGGTAGGTCAGCAGCAGAGGAACACAGCTCAGGGACAGCAGCACGGCTCCTCAGGTGGCTCGCGTGGCTCAGGCGGCTCGGGCGGCTCGGGCGGCTCGGGCGGCTCGGGCGGCTCGGGCGGCTCGGGCGGCTCGGGCGGCTCGGGCGGCTCGCGCGGCTCGGGTGGCGTAGGGGCTCACGGGCGGCGCGGGCTGATGGGGCTGCTCACGTGCAGCACGGCGGGCTGCAGCAGGGCCGGTGGCGGGCTGTAGCAGGGCCGGCGGCGGGCTGTAGCAGGGCCGGCGGCGGGCTGTAGCAGGGCCGGCGGCGGCTGTAGCAGGGCCGGTGGTGGGCTGTAGCAGGGCCGGTGGCGGGCTGTAGCAGGGGCCGGTGGCGGCTGTAGCAGGGCCGGTGGCGGGCTGGGGGGCTGTAGGCGGGGCCGACGCGGCGGGCTGTAGCAGGGGCCGGTGGCGGGCCTAAGCGGGGCCAGCGCGGGGCCGACAGGGCGTAGGTGGGGCCGGCGCGGGGCCGAATAGGGGCCTAAGCGGGGCCAACGGAGCCTACGCGGCCCCGACACGGGGCCGAGACGGGGCCTGGGCGGGGCCTACGCGGGGTCGACGAGGTGTACGCGGGGCCTACGCGGGGTCGACGAGGTGTACGCGGGGTCGACGAGGTGTACGCGGGGTCAACGAGGTGTACGCGGGGTCGACGAGGTGTACGCGGGGCCTACGCGGGGTCGACGAGGTGTACGCGGGGCCTACGCGGGGTCGACGAGGTGTACGCGGGGTCGACGAGGTGTACGCGGGGTCGACGAGGTGTACGCGGGGTCGACGAGGTGTACGCGGGGTCGACGAGGTGTACGCGGGGCCTACGCGGGGCCGACGAGGGGTACGCGGGGCCTACGCGGGGCCTACGTGGGGCCGACGAGGGGTACGCGGGGCCTACGCGGGGCCGACGAGGGGTACGCGGGGCCGACGAGGGGTACGCGGGGCCTACGCGGGGCCGACGAGGGGTACGCGGGGCCGACGAGGGGTACGCGGGGCCGACGAGGGGCCTAAGCAGGGGCCGACGAGGGGCCTAAGCGGGGCCGACAAGGGGCCTAAGCGGGGCCGACGAGGGGCCTAAGCGGGGGCACGACTGGAGGGGCGACTCGGAGGGTCGCTAAAAAAAAATGCGCGCCTCGGGGCGCGCTTCGGTCGGCCCTAGGAACAGGCCCTAGGAAGGGACCTGCTCTGATTCCATGAGAAAGTACGAACGAGAAGTGAAATGACTATGAACGAAGAGAGTACAAATAGGAAACCCTAATTGGGTTGTACCCCCTATGGTATACCCCACTATAGCCTACAGAAACAAGTAAGCTATATGTTCTGACAACGTGCAGTGGGTCACCCGCTGACTCGCAGGAGTGAACTGGTCAAACCCCCTATCCTGTAGGTCCGCTCCACTCACCAAGTTCGTAGAGAATGAGGGGAGGTAGAGACCTGATAGGGTGCCAGAGGGGGTTGCCGGGCACGGTAAGACAGTGGAGAAGCTAGCAAGGTCAGGACCCCCAGAGGGGTCTGCCAGGGAGACTGCAACCGGCCGACTGAGCGGCGTAAGAGTGGTGCGGTCTCGAAAGAAGGAGCGGGACACACCCGAGTCAAGGGTGAAGGTGTGTAAGGCCTGAGCCGACGTAGTACCTGAGAGCGCAGACTCACCAGCACCTGGGGCAGCAGACGCAGTGGCACCTGGGGCAGCAAACGCACTGGCACCTGGGGCAGCAGACGCGCGAGCACCTAGAGCAGCAGCCTCAATGCCCGGGTCAGGCGGTACACACAGGTAACAGTCACCCGCAACAGTATCATCAACAGCATACATGGCAGCAAGAATAGCATCAAAATCAAGATCAAAGATAGCAACCCCCGCCCTAGACAGCTCTCCCGAGCGAGGGATCTCAGAGGCCCCAGGGAACTGGTGACGCCACGCGTCCGTCAGGCGGCCGAAACAGCGCTGGGTGGAGTGCAGGCCCCCGCACTGCTCACCAGCGCGGTCGCCGGTGCGGAGAACGTATGTGCAGGGACCCGTAACCCCACCGCGCTGACGTGCAGCGTACCACTCACGAAGCTGCTGAGGGGACAGGGTCTCACGACTGCTCTGCTGCTGCTGGCGTGTACCACCACCGGAGCCACTCCTCTGCGTAGAGTCGCGACCAGGTCCACTGCTACCGCCGCCGCCTCCGCCGCCTCCTCCACCTCCGCCTCCTCCGCCACCTCCGCTCCCTCCGCCACCACCGCCGCCTCCTCCGCCTCCACTGCTGCCGCTGCCGCCGCCACCCCCGCCACCACTCCCACCACCACCCCCACCCCCTCCACTGCCTCCACCACCACCTCCACCGCCCCCGCCAGCCCCTCCAGCGCCCTTGCCCCCCTTGCCCTTGCCGGTGCGGCGTCTTCCGCTAGGGGCAGACGCAGCGCCGACCGACTTGAAACCAACGAGGTCGGTAGTAGCAGCAGAAGCAACAGAGGGCAAGAGGGGGGAGGGGGAACACCCCTCAAAGACGGGGGTGCGAGGGTCACCACGAGAGGCTCCTACAGCGACTATGCTCTTCTCTGCTGCTAGGAGGCCCTTCTCGAGGAGGTCAATGGTGAGAGTGGTGGGGCAAACTGAGAGGAAGTGGTCCCTGACTACGCGAAGAGAGTCAGGGAGCCGGGTGACTATGTATTAGAGGGTGATGTACATGGGGGGGGGGTTCTTGGCGCAGAACTCAGCAGGAAGCGCAGCGCGGTAGCGAGTGTCACTAGTGCGGAGGTGCGTAATGAGGTCAACGTCTGTGGGAAAGGCAGCAAGGTCAGGGAAGAGGTACGGTAGCATGAGGCGGCTCAGTGCAGCAGTGGCAGGGGAAGAGTAGCGTGCAACTACAGCGTCGTACAAGGTCTGAGCACTCTTGTACTGGCTAAAGTGTGCACGCTCAGTGGTCGGTAAGTGGCGACGCACAGCAAGGCGAGCAGCAGCATCGCGTGTGGCCCACTGCGAGCGAACAGTGCTGTTAGCAGTGGCATTCGGGGCAGGAGAGACACCAGAGGTGAGATCGAACAGAGAGAGTACGTCTGCCCTATCGCACTGGAGAAACAGCTGGAGGTCATCGACCCAGACCTCAAAGTCAACGGCACGGCCCTCAGCATCAAAAGTAAGGACACTGGGGGTAGCCATGACTGCAGTGGCCTAGCAGGAAGTGAGCTCACCAGTCCGAGGAAGGAGGGCCGGGGAGCACCGGTAGGAACAGCAGCGGCTCGACAGTAGGGCGGCTCGGCGGTTCGGCTGCTGGGCGGCTCGGCGGCAGGGCGGCTCGGCTGCTGGGCTGCTCGGCGGCTCGGTCGCTGGGCGGCTGAGTGGAGACAGGGCCGCTAGGGGAGGGCGACGGGGCGCAGGTGACGGCGACGGGGCCGTAGGTGGTGGCGAGGCCGCAGGTGGCGGCTGCGTGGCCGCAGGTGGCGGCGATGGGGCCGCAGGTGGTGGCGACGGGGCCGCTGGTGGTGGCGACGGGGCCGCACGTGGCGGCGACGGGGCCGCAAGGGGCCTAGACGGGGCCGCGGAGGGGCCGTAAGGGGCCTAGACGGGGCTGTAGCGGGGCCGCAAGGGGCCTAGACGGGGCCGCGGAGGGGCCGTAAGGGGCCTAGACGGGGCCGTAGCGGGGCCGCAAGGGGCCTAGACGGGGCCGCGGAGGGGCCGTAAGGGGCCTAGACGGGGCCGTAGCGGGGCCGCAAGGGGCCTAAACGGGGTCGCGGAGGGGCCGTAAGGGGCCTAGACGGGGCCGTAGCGGGGTCGCAAGGGGCCTTAAGGGGCCGTAAGGGGCCGGAAAGGGCGCCGCGAGGGGCCGAAAGGGGCCGCGCGAGGGCCATAAGGGCGACGCGAGGGGCCTTAAGGGGCCGTAAGGGGCCGTAAGGGCGACGCGAGGGGCCGTAGAGGGCGGCGCGAGGGGCTGTAAGGGCGGCTGAAGGGGCCGTGAGAGGGGCCACTAAGGGCGGCTCGAAGGTAGGGAGGGCACACAGAGCGCGACTCGGGCAGGAGTGAAGCGGGCTCCGGGCAGGAAAAAAAAAGTATCGTGGTGGGCCCTAGGTAGCGTTCCCACTAGGGAACCTGCTCGATACCATGACGTGAAACGAGAATGAATGCATTGAGCAGAAAGGGGAGTACAAGTGGCAAACCATAAATTGTTGTACCCCATATGAACTGCCCCACTACAGCCTACACAGACTATAGCATATATGCCTGACAGTTGTGGCACAGCCGCTTCACCTTGGTCCAGACTCCGTATGGCGGGGCGTAAATCTGCGCCTAGAAGAGCAGAATCGGCATCGCGCAATTGTTTATGATTGTGACCCGCGCTGAAGTTTTGAGAGGTGTTGTCTCCCAACAGCTCAGCACCGCGCTAACTTTTTCAAAGGTTCTGTCCCATGCAGGTCCCGGTGAACCCCTAGAGGTGATCCAGATTCCGAGCAGCCGCTCCGACGTGTTCTTATCCGCCCATTTGAAAGGCGACACTACCGGTTGCAGCCTCCTTAAGTTTTTCCTCAGCGGCATCAGCGACGTCTTATCGCGATTCACCCTCAACCCCGAGACCTCCGCAAACTCCCCAAGCAGTTTCCCGGCTGCCTCCACTTGCTTTTTCCCTTTTAAGACCAGTGTTGTGTCGTCTGCATATCCGATGTAAGCTAAGTCCCCTTTCATGCCTCTCTTCCTGACCCCCAGCTTCCTCCTTTCTATTTCCTGGCAGAGTGGCTCGACCGCACAGAGGAAGAGATATGGGGCGAGCGGGCAGCCCTGACGCACTCCTTTGGCCGTCTCCACCCGATCCCCCATCCAACCGTTCAGCAGCACCTTGGTTGCAGCTCCATCGTGAAGACCCTTCACCCACCCTGTCAATTTCTTCGGGAGCCCCATGTTGCCCAGCGTCGTGACCAGGTACTCTCGTGATACAGAATCGTAAGCCTTTTGAAAATCGACCAGCAACAGCAGCCAGTCCTCGTCCTCCTGCTCCGCAGCATCTATCACGTCTGCCACCAGTGAGACCGCATCGGCAAGACTCCTTCCCGGGAGGAAGCCGAACTGGTTGGGCGAGATCACTTTCGGTAAGACCACCCTGATTCTGTTCGCCAACACCTTCGCCAGCAGTTTGTAGAAAAAGCCCAGTAAAGTGATCGGTCGATAGTTGCCCAAATCGTCTCTGCTCCCTTTCTTGTGCAGAAGAATCGTGACCGCCGTCGTAAAAGCTTCCGAGAGCGTGTCCGTCGACTTGAAGTCCCGGATCTCCCTCATCACCGCCGGGCCCAGTAACCCCCAGTTCCGCTCAAAAGATTCTTTCGGCAAGCCATCCTATCCCGGGGCCTTCCCCGCCGGTAAGCCCTTGAGTGCCGCTTTCACCTTCTGCTCTGACCATTCCCTGTCTAACTGTAAGCGATCGTTCTCCTGCAGCACCCTTCCTTCTTCAATCGGCCACGGTTCCCCGGAAGAGGGCATCGACGACAGCGTGTAGGCTTCTCGGAAGTGTTCCGAAGCCGCTTGCAGCACCTCGCTTGCACCTTTCCTCAACACTCCTTAAGAAGGTAAGTTCTGTTATTTCCGTCTTCGCCTTCCTTGACTTAACCAAGCCTGCAAGAAACCTGATGGAGTCTCTCCCGTCAATTCTTGCAGTAACCCTGACAGGACCTGCAGCCTCTCCTTGTTGCTGTCCTGATAAAGCTTGAGAGCCGCTTCACTTTTAACCAACTCCTCGTACAGAGCCTGCGAAGTAGGGTCCGTCATCACTTTCCATGTGAGCTCCTCCACTTTCTTTTCCAAGTGTACCATGGTCGCCCTGACCCTTTTCCTTTCCTCTGCCACATGAGCCCTCGTGCTTGCACGCAGGCGTGTTACCAGTCTCTCCAAGCCCTGCACCGGTTGGTTCACTTGTGCATCCACCACTGCCGATATGATATTCCGGACACCTTCACCCCCCACCTGAGGCACCGGAAGCCTCCACAACCCAGGAACATGATCGTCTGCTGATGCCGACTTGAGCGAGACAATCACTGCAAACCAGTGACCCGTTAAGCCGTATGGTACCATTCTATGCTTCGCCTCCGTTACGCAGCTGAGCAGTGAATGTGAAACTTATGCCCTGTCAATCCTTGTGCTTGTCTTTGCAGATCTCGAGAAAGAGGTCTAAAGATCCCACCTCGAGCAGATCTGCAAGAGTCTCTGGTTTTCCACCGGAGTACCCAGCTTTGAGGATTTGTCAAGCTCTGGGTCTGCGACGATGTTCAAGTCGCCGAGGAATATGGTGTGTGGAGAAGCGCCTAAGCTCTGCACAAAGGGAGTTAGTACCTCTCGAAAGAAAACCCCCCTAACGGGTGCCTGCGCAGGTAGGTATGCTGCTACCACTCTGCACCGCAGATCCCGCCATGTGACCACCAGGCTCAGAAGCCGGCCAGACTCATGTTTAACAACCTCCGTAAACCGCATTCCTGGCAGGAAACCCAAGACGGCCAACCCCCCTGCTCTCTGTGCTGGCCCGACCAACGCTTGGGCCTCAGATCTAATTTGCGTCCAGAAATTGTGATCAGCTGGAACCCGTGTGTCTGTGAGTACCACTATGTTTCTTGACCCACTTCCCGCATCGTTCTTGTTTCCCGCAGCTGCCGAGCCCGTTGATGTTGAGCTCGAGAAATGTGAGGTTGTTGCGTTTGTCCATTAATCCACTGCTCTGAGCCCCACAACATCCACGGGCGGTTAAGCTTTATCGCGACAATGCAACCAGCTACAGCGAAGGAGAACATGGCACCGACTACACAACCCGCTCCCACAATCCATCGTGCCGCTACATCCAGTTCCGTCCTGGTGCTGTCAACTGAGCCACCGGTCACTTTGTTGCAGACTTGATGATGAAATCCTTCTTGAAAGTAGCCATCTTCTGAGAGTGTTTGCTGGCATGTGTTGCAGCTCCGTCTTTCCGCAACCCTTCCTTGTGCGTGGCAGATGCTATGTGAGCCGCCGCCTGTTCGAAGCGGTTCCCCTGCGCCTTCTCGCACACGATTTGCATACATACCCACTCCTCCCGCACTCCTCCTGTGGAGGTGAGTACAACGGTGGGGTCCTTCAGGATACGTTTCATGAGTGCTGAGGCTTTCAGGGATGCAGCTGCGAGGAGAGGTGGGAAAAGAGCCGTCAGTATAAGTCAGGAAGCGAAAGTCAAGCGGTAAAGATTGCGAAGGTAGGAGGTGGTGAGCCGGTCGACACATACCATTCATCTCATGAACCTTTTTGACCGCCAGGTTCCAATTGGTGAGTTTTTCTTGCCTCACGGTAATGTAATGGTCGTGGTAACGAGACATATGCGGACCACTGCAGAGCTCGCAGGTGAGCGACGGGAAATGCAACAGGTAGCGCTTCCCTGTCGACGGGTCTTCCACTAAGTACCTCCAGCGGTACTCGTCAGTAGTATGAGGAACAATCAAACCACAAATACGGTCAGTATCCAGCCCTGTGACCGGGTCTAACGTGCGGTGAAAACCGAAACCACTGGCGAAGGCGCTCTTGCCGCGCTTAACCAGCTTGGACACCACCAGCAGATGGCGGATAAGTTCGGCGGTGATCTCAGCCGGGACTCCCTTGACCATTACATCCTTCGCCGTCGGGTTCAGAACGCGTTCACGGAGGAAGCGCGCGTCTTCCGGATATTGCCAGGTGAGATTGATGATGTCGCCGTTCACATATTCATGACGAATGACTTGATTCTAGACAAAATTCGCATCCCTGATGTGGTTGAAAGTGACTTGGAGACAACCATAGCGCGTGCCAGAAAAATACGTCGCCGTAAGTTCCTGGTAAGTCGTCGTCTGCAGCACATCAGGAGATAGCTGCTCCCTATAGTCATCCAACAGAGCCGCGACCGTTACAGCGGCACGCTTGACTTCCACTTTCTTGAGGATCGGCACCTATAAGGTTAGTGAAAAGCGTTTCAAAGCAATAACACTGCTGAGCGAGTCGGGTTCCAAGTGTTCATCGGAGTCGTCGCTCAGATAGCCATCATCCTCATCGTCAGGGACCGGATCCGCAGAGTCATCATCGTCGTCATTCGCGATAGCGTCAGTGTCAGTCTCTTCACCCTCAGGCTTCTGGTCCTTGTTGTCAGACACCTCTACCCCTTTAGCATTGTCGTCGCCGGGTTCAGCGGTAGCGTCAGTCTTGTTCTGCAGATCCAGCAGGTCCTCAAATGGACCAATCACCGCCGGAGGCATTGAAGAAGAAGCCCGGCCTTTGCTTGCAGTATCTGACACATGTACGTCATCGACCGCCTCCTTGTCATGATCAGCATCTGCAGCCTTCTTTCCAGACTTGTTGTTGCGTCCCTTCCCCATTATGCGATGATGAGAAAAGCTTGACAGGCCGAGGGTGGCCGCGAAACAAGCTGATCTGAGTACCTTAACTGCTGACGATTTATATTTCCTGTGTTTGAAAGCAAAGCATTGCAGGTCCAGGCCCAAGGAGACTCCTGTGTCCTTGGAGGAAAGCAATCTGCCTCGATAACTGGCACCCTCGAGCTTCGATGAGCCTTGGGATACGTAAACATTGTTGTTGACGCAAACAGTTCCCAGTGCAGACTGAGTAGCGCGATGATCCCCGTGGAGAGGCTTATAATGTTGATTAAAGCCATGTGTAAGAAAATTGCTTGATAGTAGATGATGCGTAGACGATAGCCTGGACCTCAAAAATGTGATATTTAGGTTCCAGTAATGAACACTAAAAGCACACCATTGTAATGAGCTTAAAACCGCGCATCGTCTGAATGCTTCAATGTCAACATCAGGCGAGAAATTGTTACACATTGGCTAAGTTAAAGCTCTCCGTCATGGCCATGACGGCATTGGCATTGTCCCGGTTTCCGTGTCAAGGGCAAGGTGGGGGTTAAACATTCCGCTAAAGCCAGCTAAATCAATTCAACACATCAAACGCTTACATAAAAGGAGCAACTACAACACAACCGAACCTCCCATTGTTCAGAGCAGGTAGTTCTTGTAGCACTCCTCAAAATCCAAATATCAACCTTAATCATTAACAATGAGTTACTGTGCACCAACTAGCCTATGGCTGGGCGGGGAAGGGCGGTGTACAGTCAAGGTCAGTTGTTCCAATATATCCTCATTTTAGTTAAGCCATATTTTAGTCAAAACAAAATAGAAATCCGCTTGCACGCGCCGCAAGCTTTCCGTTATTCCCCAGTGAGTGTAAGTGGTCTATGCTGTAAAGTTGGATGGTTGATGCGGCATGGGTGGCCGCTTCTGTTCTGTGCGGCCATCACTTTCAACTGTTGAAGTCTCCATCTGCACGTTTTCAATTCTGTTGGTCGTGCGACTCTAATCTTGGCGCAGTTGCCCGTTTCATATTACAAATGAAATGCACTTGATACTGGAAATTTAGTGTACTTCAAGGCTCTCTTCGGCAGCCTGATGCTCCGATCCTTGTCGTAAGGAAAGATAATTTTCAATCACAATTCATCATGGTCTATCTAATCTCTTTCAGCTTGAAGCATTCCAACTTTAATAGAATGGGGATGTTCGCGAGCACCTTTGAAGCCAAAAAACTGTTGTAATAACTGAACAGGAATGGATGAACTAACAGTGAAATGAGTACAAGTACCTAACCCTGGAATTGTGTACCCCCTATAGGCTAACCCACTGTAGCCTAAACAACCACAACATATATATAATGTTTGACACACCCCCATAGGCGAAGTGGGGGAGAACTAGGGGTCACAAGACCAGTCAAGGCAAGCAAGGCAAAACAAGCTCAGGGTGGATCTCAAGGATACCACACAAATTCCGAGCACAAGCAAGTGGTCACAAGACCAGTTCACATGCAGGTTTATAATAGAGCAAAAGGTACAAGGATCACAACCTAGCAAGAATAAACATGCAGGTATATATATATAGAGATCACAGTACAAACATACTCAAGAAGTAAGCCAGTGAGGTCCAGTAGGCACAAGGCCTAGAAGAGTGCAAAAGTGCTGATGGTCACAAGGCTGAAGCGCCTTGGTGAACACATCAGCAGTGTTGGCCTCAGAGGCCACGTAACGCAGGCGAAGCTGACCACGCTGCTGCAGCTCTCGAGCAAGGAAGTACCGCAGAGCAATGTGCTTCGTTCTGTGCTCCAGTCTGTGCTCCTCACACAAGGCAATGGCTGCCTTGTTGTCGACGTACAGCACTGGAGGAGAACGAGGCTGCTCTCCAAGGTCGGTCAGCAAGTAGGTGAGCCAGCGTAGCTCCTGGGCCGCCATG